TCATGTTTTAGGATCTTTCTTTTCTCTTCCTATGAGATAATACCTCCCATAGCTTGAAGGATTTCTACGATAGGGGATCCTTCTTGCTTTGCTACATTTTGAATATTCTGTAGAGTCGAGCTACACTGGATTCTCTCTTTTTTCTACTAGGGGTGGAGGTGAAAATTATATTACAGATGCTTTCCTCCCTTTATGCGGCAGAAATTGAATGAAATCTACTTCCACTCAAAAAGTGAGAGGTTTCTAGTAAATCAAATTCAGAAGTGTATATGTCTTTCGTTGCCCATGTATTTCTCTCATGAACCATCCTATTTTGATTTCATAATTGCTTCTTAGTTAGTGATGGAGTCACTTTGTTAGATGGGTCTACTTTAAAATTATCGGTGTTTTGAGCAAATCAAAAATTGAATTAGGGGATTTTCTGATTTCTATCATTTCAGAACACTAAAGACTGGCAATGACGATCACAATAATGGACGTTTAAACAGCTCTTTTTTTCAACAATGAAAAAGCTACTTCTAATTTGACGTCAAAGGGTAATGAAGGATGTTTGTTATCATTGATTCAAGGTTCTACTGTTGAAAAACTCAAACTATCAATTCTCATCCCAAACTTGATCAAGGACCAACCGTTCATATGACTTTGATCAAATACTATATTACTTTCATTTCTAAGGGAGAATATGAATTTAGAAGACATCTTTCCTGTAATGGGGTAAAGGAAAGATATCAAAAGAGAGTCAAGTGTAGAATCTTTAAAATTTTTAATGAAATTGAGACTGGATTTAATTTGAAGATTAAAGATGCGGGGTGAGACCCAAAAATCAGTAAGTTCAATAGACCCATTTCATAATGGAAAGTCCAAGGAGAAGATGAGTAGTTTAAATTTGTAAGAGATAAAAATACTACTGATAACTTAATTGTTAAAAAATATAAAGAGAACAAAATTCCTCAGTGAAGTTACTAGAAAAAAGCCTTGGTGAGGATATTTTCTTGTCACCACCAACCATAGAACTTTCGGAAGACTACTATCTAAATGAACTAGTGTGACATTTGAAGAATAGTATACATTTGAAGGGAAGGAAATACTACGTTAAAATGAGCCTAATCATCTAAATGATGAATTCCTTTGTATGTCTACAGAACTAGGGTTTTCTTTCCTTATCTAAATGGTGTAAGGTAATGTTTATTTTATTTTGGGACCGGGTTCTCTACAAGGGCAAGCCCTCATAGTTAATTATATCTCCAGAACTGTGAACCTTGAAGAAAACTCTCAATTAATATAATGATTTATACTATTCAGATTATAAGGTTGGACTTCCATAATTGAGCTATTAAAAGTGATGACAAGATTCAAGTTGGAAGAATTATGCTCAAGTGCATAGAACTTATAATTTTATGACAGCTAGACAAGGGGATTTAACCGTCCAGGGAAGAATGCTTTCCCAAGTAGATTATTTTGAAGAATTTAGAAAATGTTTGGTAGTGAATCTTGATTGATCAAATAAGATCAAGGGACGAGATCAAGAACAATTAGTTTGATTGGTTTGAAGTTGTCAAATTTCTTACACTGAAGGAAAAAGTCACGCAGAAAGGGTTTCTAAATGGAAGTGAGTTCCTAATTCTAGAAAACCCTTACTCTAAGAATCCAAGTAGGCAGACTAACCTAGACTTTGGGAATAATGTCCCTGATTAGGATGCCCATAACTTTTTGCTATCTCGAGCATGTTGATATCATTCGACTATAACCAACTCATAGCTACTCTAAGAATCCAAGTACGCAGACTAACCTAGACTTTGTGAATAATGTCCCTCATTAGGATGCCCATAACTTTTTGCTATCTCGGGCATGTTGATATCATTCGACTATAACCAACTCATAGTCATAAATCTTTATTGAGCGCCATGATCATGGCATATGGAGGGTTTCTTAGTTTTAAGGCTTTTTTAAAATGCCTTCGTCAGTGACCATGAGTTACTTCATACTAAGGCATTCCCTCTAGTCTCAGAGGGTAAGTTGTTTGTTTTATATGTCCTAGTTCTGAGCATTAACTAGGGTAACTTATACTAACCAAGGGTATGTGTATGATCCTCGATTATTGTGTCAAGTTTAGCTAACCTAGGGTTTATGTGCCAAATCTGCTTAGGTTTAATTTTTCTTCTTTATGCTTGTGTGTTTTAAATGTTATTTGGTGGTTCAATATTTAGTTTGTGATTTGTTTCAATTCTAATGTTTATCGATCAATGAGAAAAAACAAGATTTTTCTCAGTTCAATGCTTTGGTTTTATTTTTAGATTAGACATTTGTGGAAAGAACCATCTTGTAAGAGGTTCTCCTCATCCTTTTTATTTTATCCATTTTTTGTTGTTTTTATTTTTATTGAAACTGCACATGGAGTGTGGAACATGAAACTGAACATCAAGTGACATTACATATAAAACAACATAACATTTGAAACATTAATTTAGCCTAGATTAAACCTAGGTTGGGAATGAACTGAGGTTGGTTGGGATTTCAGCTGAGGCCAGCTCAAAATTGAGCTTGACTTGGGTACAATGTAGGATCGATTGATTTGAACCTTAGGTTGACTTGCGTTGGCTTGGGTTGACCTGAGTTGGCCTGGGTTGGATCTGGGTTAGCCTGAGTTAGACTTGGTTGGATTGGGTTGACCTAGGTTGGACTAGGTTAACTTAGATTGAACCTATGTTGGATCTGGGTTGACTTGGGTTGGACCTATGTTGACCTGTATTAGATCGGGGTTGGACCTTGGTTGGATTTGATTCAGATCGGGTTCGGTTCGGGTCATGTCGGGTAAATTTTGGATCAAGTTCGGGTAAGGTTTGAGGTGAATTTTATATCGATCAACATTAAATATCATCCCTGATTTCAACACCCAATGGTATCAATGCTTCAAAATTATTTCTAAAAAAGGAAAAAATGTCTAAGCCATCTTATAATTGATCTTCAACATCATATTTAAATATTGATTGATATAAAATTCAATAATGATAGATTTTATCATTTTCTATAATATTCAATATAATAATTTGATTAACTTTAAACTGAAATTTTTTTATCACAATCCAGCTATATACATGACCTCAGTAGTATAATGTCTAGTTACATGTTTGCTTACAGCAGACATCTGTAGATGGTAGGACAGCTCAAATGAGTCCGCTACAAAAGAGATAGTGAATGCAGTGTTATAAATTCGAATCATATTTGTACCATGTTCAAACAATATTCAAACCTTAACTTAATCTTGCTTGAATTTTAATAAGAACCTCCATCTTTGCTATAACTCATTTGAACGAGGCTTACATTATTGATCAAATCTTATTCTAACCTTGATCAAAACATTTCCAAATTATGATTGAACTTTAAACATTCTTCTAATCTGTTTTAGAAATACTGACAAGATACTTTTTTATCACAACTTCAAGATCTCAAGTTACTGTAAACACAATTCCCAGCAATTGCAACAGCCCAGATATTGAGATAAAGGAGACTTATTCCATAAATTCCATATTAGAGGCCTCATTGATATTATATACCACGACATAATTTCCCATAACTTCAACTTGAGTTCAGCCCAACAACCGAGTTAACAAGTCTTAATGGACACAGCTTGCTCCCGAACTTACAGTTTAAAGAACAAACTGATCTCGGGCAAAGCCACAAAGGCCATTTTTCTGACCAAAACTGATACAAATGTAGTACTGTGGAAGAACATAATACTTTACTTTCTTTATCTTCTCATTCTGTTTTGATTACACCACCAAAGGATAGCTCAAGGCATTGGCAAGGACAACAGAAACAATAAGCAGAAAAAACACTTCAAAAACCAGCCCATCCAGCAGGTTGGCTGGATTCTACCTTCTTGGCTTTGGCAGCTGCAAAGCGCTGCGAAGAACTTCCGATAGCGGGAGAACTGGATGTCTCGGAGCTTGAGGAAGGAGATGCAGTGAAGCTATCCTGGCCAAAGCCCCATTCATCCAGGGTTAGGCTAGATTCAGGATGTTTGCTGTTGTTGGGACGTCCATTCATTGTCCTGACAGATTTCGAATGTCTTGTTTTGGGAAGAAGCTGCACATTTGGCTCGTCTGCGAAAGCCTGCCATGGTTTGGAACCTTGGTTTGGGGAAATGGTGCTGGTAAGTTTTCCCTGCTGGAGATCCAACAAAGATCCTTCAATCTTTTCCCGTGACTGTAACGGCGTCAAGAAAAAAATTTAGGGAAATTTACATACCTACCACAAAAAATGTTAATGTATGTATCTAACACCCAAAGTTTGATATTTACACTTATAAAACCTTGGTATAATAAACTTAAGCATGAAAAGGTGTTTTATAAAGGTAGTGAAAGTGATATTTTTGATGTGATGTTAAAGATTTGGGCGGTATGCAAGTAAATTTGAATGTCCAGTGTTAGGTATGTAAATGCTAAGAATTCTGTGGAGTGTATGTAAATGCCCCATTAATGAAAGGATCTGATAAAAAAGTTAAATAAAATGGAAATACAACCTATACCTGGGTGTCAGACTCCAAGTTTCCAAAGCCGTGACTCCGAGAGTCTTTTACTGATGGTGGGCTCAATGCAGCTAAAGCTAGCTTTAGCTCCTGTAACTCCTTCCTTTGCGAGCGACAAATGGAAGAGAGCTTTTCATATTTGGATGTTATTTCTGCTTTCTCCAGGTTAGATTGTTTAAGTTGCTCCTTCAGTTTCCCCATCTCAGCCTCCAACACCTCCTCCCTTCTTGATTTGGTAATGTTATTGTTCATATTTGAATCAAAATCACCAACAAAAGCACGGAATGACTCATTTTGGAAGGTTGCTTTGTTTTCCTGAGAGGATCTTATTTTGAAGTCCTCGGTTCGGCCATCTTCAACCCCCTTGTAGATGCCAGTCTGTGAAGGCTGAGCTCGCTGTTCCACAGAAAAACTGGTTCTTCCTTGGTTGATCTGAGTATTCTTCAATGTTTGACTCACTGGTTCTTCATCAAATAATGGACCCTTGTCCTCCACAACTTGTGAATCCTGTGCAAACTGGGTAGACCAAAATGCACCCATGTGATTCCCACTCGCACCTACCATTGGAGGTTGAGGCGAGCTATTACCACCCTTTTCTTTGAAAGAAGGTGGAGGAGGGGGGCTTCTTCTTGGCTTAACAGGAATCCTGTTGGGACTGCCTGCAAATTTATATCAGTACTGTTTCTTATGTTGGGGTAAAGACGAAAAATAACAGGGGATTGGTACCAAAAAAACCACATATACAAGGCCAAAAAGAAAGTAAATTGTTATGTCTACAATAGGTAGGGCTGTCAAAAAAGCTCTTCATTTATAAACAGCTCATGTTCAACTCATCAAGTAGCTCGTGTTCGATTCATTCATTAATTAAGCGAGTCAAACATAAACTGTTTTTTTGAGCTCGATTTATAAACTAGTTGAACATGAACGAAGTTTTGTTTCATTGTGTTTGGCTCATTTTAGCTCGAATTAATTAAATAATTAAATAAATATTATTATTATAATATATTTAAATTAATTTTTTATGCTGTATTTAAAAAAATGTTAAATTTTTAGCTTTTAAATAATTCAAATTAATTTTGAAGTGAACACAAATTGAAACAAACAAACAAATTTGAATCGAGTCAAAAATAAAAATGATATTCACAGGCCATTTCGAACACGAGCCTATTTTGGACCAAAACAATTTTGAATGAGCTGAACACGAACAAACACTAGGCTCGCTCAAACTCGGCTCATGTACCCACTAATAGGGGTCATTTCTAGTGAGTAAAATTAAGTTGACACGTTTCGCAAGCCGGACCTTAGGAAAATTATTGGCAAAAAGGAAAGGAATGAATTTTTAATGCTTGCACTTAAGCTACAAAAACAGATAAAAGAACCAAACCTTCATTATGCACATCTGGGCTCACATTAACGGGTTCAGCACGGTCAGGTAAATGCTTCTGCAACTCCACCGGCAATAATTCATTGACACGAAACCACACCTGCTGAAGGACTTCAGCCATTAGTGAATGACCGAAGGATGCATTGCATCCATCATGCTAATGCAGATGCATACATCTAACTAACCTAGAGATTCATGGAGATGAATGGCCAATCAAGCTAAGCCCTTGCCTGAGTGATGTCTGGTCGATCATTGGGAGAGCCCTGAAGCATGTCTTTGATCAAGCCAATTAAAGAAGCACTGTATTTTGGCAACTCTGGGATACGAAAGTTCCCATTCAAGATCTGAAGTTTTGATTCACCGTCAAATGCTGATTTGAAATAGCATATTCTGTAGAGCAGGCACCCAAGAGCCTGTAGATTTGAATGTGCTAGTTAATATTTATAAATGGATAAAATATTCAATTTCTACCAACTTGAGTGAAAAACAAATGAAGATTAATTGTGTAGCATCATTGCTATATATTTCCAGTCGGTAATATGGAAGATTTGAATATATTAGTAGCTATATGAGTTCAGGAAGGCATACAGGTTTGTTAAATGAAATAGTAATTAGGTCATTTAATGCCTGAAGTTTCCATTATTTGTGCATAAGTCAGTGTTTGCGACCAATTAAATAAATCAAATCAGTTATTTATGGTCTAATTTGATTTATGGCTGCAAATGAGATATGTGTTGGGGTACAGAAATGCCGAGCAAAGCCAATAGATGTTTCACAAACAAATACAAATAGATTCTTGCATCCTTAAAAAGGGAAAGAAGGCCTGTCCATAGGCATCTTCCATCATCTATTTTAAATTTTACAACAACAACAACAACAACAACAA